GAGCTTTTTGCCATTCTGCTCACTGGTAGCCATGTGATGATCGAGACAGGAATTTCCCCCAAGGTCCTGTTGGCTAGGCTGGTGTTTATTTGTCTCCTGCAGGAGGGCGCTTGGCTTGGCTCGCTTGCCTGAGTCACCTGAAACTCCTTGCTTAGAATGTACCTGTTGTTTGCTCAAGAGACACACTGGGTGGCCGGGTTGGGATGAGCTTGGAGGCTTCTACAAGGTCCCTTGCCGTTCCATGATCGTAAATTATTCCACATCATTACTAAGGCTGCATATGCACTATACATTTAAAGCACACACACCCCCACAAGAATCCTTGGAACCGTAATTAAGGGGGCTGATAAACTACAGTTCCCATTATTCTTTAGGGCAGGGGTGCCCAAACTTTTAAAAAGAGGGCCAGATATGATGAAGTGAACATGCATGGGGGCCGGCCGAAGTTCTTGAGCTTTTTTTAGGATTTGACCCCAAAGTTTTTGAGCGTTTCTTAGGATTTGACCCCAATAAATAAGGCCCACAAGGCCTTGGAAATGTGCTTTAAATATATGGTGTCTATGCAGCCTAAGGCTAGGTCAGGGAACGTGTGGCCCTCCAGTTGTTGTTGGACTAGCTCAGTTGGCTACAGCGTGGGGCTGATAACGCCAAGGTTGCAGGTTCGATCCCTGCATTCCTGCACCACAAGGGATCGGATCAATCAGTTTTATTGTTTGTAGCCAATACAATCAAACCTCGGTTATTGATCTTCTCCGTTGCCGAATGTTTTGGCTCCCGGATGTCAAAAACCCAGAAGTAAGTGTTATGTTTTTCAGAAGCTGAACGTCTGATGCAGCAGACAAGCGGCTTCCGATTGGCTCTTCCAATTGCAAGAGCCAATCAGAAGCCACGCCTCAGAAATCGAACGTTTTGGATGTCGAACGTCCTTCCGGAATGGATTACGTTCGACTTCCGAGGTACCACTGTACAATAGGAGCACAAATCACACAGCTGCAAAACAGAAAAACCTTGGACCAGATGAGCCTCAGGGTCCCTCAAACTCTATGGTTCTATAATCCTATAACTCCTATCGTTTATTTCATTTCATTTCATGAAATTTATACACTGCTTCCTCCTAAAAAGCATCAAAGTGGTTTACGAAAAGGTAAAAAAATAAAATTGAGGGGGAAAACACAACCCTGCTTTAAAGCATTCAAAAGTTAAAATACTAAATCAGATTAAAATTACCCCAACTTTTGAAGCATCTGGGTAGACACGTCTAAACAAGAATTTCTTTATGAATGACTTTATGAATGAAAAGATGATAGTGAAGGCACCTGCTTAATGTCAACAGGCAGGCAGTTCCAAAGTTCACCTGGGATGGGAATTGGAGTCTATTGGCATCCGGAGGGCTGGAGGTTCACCCTGTAATAGATATCTCACCGAATGAGCTCTGTAGCTGAAAGCCCGGGATCCCTTCCCCAAAATGAATGCATCCGTTCTTCTTGTTTTGCTCGAGATGTCACTAGGATTTATAGGTTGGGTGTTTCTGACCTCCTTACGAGGCTGAACAGTGTTTGTTGTCCAAAAGTGTGCAGAGGCTGGGAGAGGACCTGATGGGTGTGCTTGATCATTTTAGGAAGCTTTTCAGAGCTAAGATGCTCTGAAATGAAGAAGGTGCCATCATCGATAGATTCACAGTGCTTCCAGACAGGAGGCTTAATTTGCAAATTGGGACACTGAGATAACAGGATTTTGGCAACCTTCTTCTTCTTCTTCTTCTTCTTCTTCTTCTTCTTCTTCTTCTTCTTCTTCTTCTTCTTCTTCTTCTTCTTCTTCTTAAAATTGAATGGATTCTCCCCCAAAGAGCAAATCTGGCCAAGTTGCCCAGGGGGTGGGGGTGGGGGTGGGATACAGGCTGACATTTTGATGCTAATGATGTTGAATGGACCCTGCAAAAGTAAAAAACTTTCACACACGAGGAGCACCTGTCCTAAACACAACTGTTCTGAACTGTTTTTAGTGGGACCTCTTCAAAGGCTTATTACACACACACACACACACACACACACACACACACAAACCAGCCCCAATTGATTTTTCTTTGGACATGAGGGGGAGCTGTTTCTTTAATCTTGGTGGATTTTAGAAATGCCTCTTTGGATTGGGAAATCGAGCTCATCTGTCAGGCAGCCACGCCATAAAGGATATGGCTCCCCCCGCAAGAATTCTGGGGGCTGTAGTTTACTTCGCACAGAGCTGTAGCACCCTTGGCGAACTACAATTCCCAGGATTCCTTTAGGGGAAACTGTGTATGTTGTGGACATGACCCTGGCGCTTTTCTTTCCGCTTCTTCCTTGGCATCTCCTTTTCTCTGAAAAGAGCGTTGCAATTTCTTTCTCACTTTGCTCCTTCCTTGTCGGTCCTGGACCACTAACAGTTCAGCCCTAGACATCTGCAGTCAGATAGAAGTCCCAAAGTTACTTCCCACTGTATATAGGACTGCAGCCTACTTTGGAATACTGTTAAGGGGCCACGATCTGCAGTAGTGCCCTTGCTTCTCATTCATTTCAGCGGAGCTCGCAGGGAGAATGTGCTGGTGGATGGGGCCCTTTGGCCTTTGGAAAGGGCCTTTCCCATTGTGTGTGTGTGTTCCTTAATTACAGCCGGCTTGCACAGACTCTAATACGTAATTTCCCCTTGCCCTCTAATGCAAGCACACGCTGTGAGAACTTTGGCTGACTTCAGGTAACGTGCTCAGTCCTTCGTGACCTTGCAATCTATCCGTTCACGAATTAATTAATTGACAGGCAACAAATACCGAAGGCTGCAATTTGGAAGACTGGAAGATGACTTTGCTCATAGGAACCCGTTGCCAGGTTTGCAGCGTCAGTCACCACCTTGGGGGAGAAATCTCCCTCCCTCCTCCCGCCCACAAATATGGCTATTTCCCAACCAGGCACAAAGGAGTCCTAATCTTTCCTCCTTCCTTGTTTTGACTCCCAGGAGTTTCTCTCCCTCCTCTAGTCTTTCCTCCCTTGCCTCTTCCTTCCCCACCTACCACCCACTTTCTTTCACTGCTCCTCGGCTCCTTCTCCAAAGTGGGGCGCGTGTGAAGTCATCACCGCAGCCCTCAGAGCACTATCGGAAAGGCTCCAAGCCAGCTAGGCCGCCCTCCCAGCCCTGCCCTAAGTTTCGTCACCTCAGTCCTCCCAGCCCAAGAGGACTTGTAAAAAAACGTTCCGAAAGAGCTTGTCACCAAGACTTCTCGAAAGATCGGTTTTGGGGGGGAAAGGGAGATTGTTTTGGAAAAACGGGTAGATGTGGCACCTCTTCTAGGGAGTGCGATGTGGGGGGGTGGGGAAGCTTCTGGAAAATATATTTATTATTTCATTTTACCTTTGGCCCAAGTAGTCTAGACTACAGTTAAAGCAGGAATGGGGAGCCTGTGGCCTTTCAAAATGTTTTTAGAGGCCAACTTCCATCATCCTTGAACATTGGCCATTCTGGCTGGGGCCGAGTTGAGAATCCAACAACAATTGGAATGCCCACAGATTCCCCCACTCCTACTTGGAAGATGGGCATTTCCCCCACGCTTCATCTGAACTCTTTGACCACATGTGGAATTTATGCATTCTGCCTTCGTCTCAACCAGGCACTTCTGCCTGAGGACGGCTTCCTCTTGGAAACAATTTATTTCTTTGGAAACAGAAGGAGAGGTGTACAGATCTGGAAGGCCCATCATGATTCCAGAGATGTCTTTTGCTATGGTAACTCAAAGCATGAACTGTACGCAAGTTCAGAGGCGCAAATGTTGTTTCTCCAGGTTTTCCCAGGCTGCGATTAGGCTGGAAAAGAAATGCGATGACTGAAAGCCAACAAGCTTTGGCTCAGGTTAAATCCTGGCTCCTTATGATGGAGCAGCTCTGTAGAACACCAAAGTCCCAGTTCTTCTGAGTTCTAGGCACCAGTGGTCTCTGGGTGTGGGGGTCTCTGCCTGGTACAGCGTGCTCTTAGAAGCATTAGCAGTTTGTAGAGCTACAACCCAACTCCAAAATTCTATATTAAGTACACCATGTGGGTCTTTCCAGTCCTACTTTTCCCTCTGACATCTATTCTACACACCACTCAAAAAAAAACCTTCCCCTCGATTGATGGGAGCTTCCATGATCATTTCTAGAACTGCAGTTGGGAAAATAAGAGGCATAGGCCACCTCTTGCTTCCTGTGCATGAAATTGGGGCCATGGATTGGGGCCATGCCATTGAATGTGTATTTTAGATGCTGGCACATTGTCTCGGTTGAGATCCACCTTCTCTTTGGCATTCTAAGGTTGACATGATCTGGGATAAGTGAGCACTCAACATAGGAAGATGCATTACCACAAAAGCAGACCACTGATCCATCTACTGCAGTATTGCCCACACTGATTGGCAGCGTCTCTCCAGGGTTTTGGGAAAAGGTATTTCCCAACCCAAACTTGAGAAACCAGGGGTTGAACCTGGAACGTGCAAAGCATGTGCTCCACCACATGGACCAAGAAGGAGTGGTAACGACTCTCTCCATTCAGGAATCCATGGTAGGGATGTCTTCTACCTGGACACTGAGGTCCAGTGCCAAGAGCCTTCTGATGATTCCCTCACTGCAAGAAGTGAGGTTACAGGGAACCAGGCAGAGGGCCTTCTTGGTAGTGGCACCCACCCTGTGGAATGCCCTCCCATCAGATATCAAAGAGAACAACAACTACCAGACTTTTAGAAGACATCTGAAGGCAGCCCTGCTTAGGGAAGCTTTTAATGTTTGATGCATTACTGTATTTTAATATTTTGTTGGAAGCTGGGTATAAATAAATTATTATTATTATTATTATTATTATTATTATTATTATTATTATTATTATTAATTTCAACCCCATACCCTGATTTTAGAACACAGAGTGCCACAGATGAAGCTCTCAGTCCTACCACACAGCTGTGAAACCTTTTCTTCCTTTTTCATTTTTCATTCTCTCTTTATTCTCAGGTGAAAATCTGGTTCCAGAACCGAAGGTCCAAGTTCAAGAAACTGTACAAGAACGGAGAGGTCCCCTTGGAACACAGCCCCAATAACAGTGACTCCATGGCTTGCAATTCTCCGCCATCTCCCACCCTCTGGGACAGTAACACCCACAACAACAACAGCAGCAGCAACAACAACAACAACCCAGCCGGCCGGAGCCAGCTCCCGCAGCCACTCTCCTACAACTCCCCACCAAGCTACCTGGAGGAGCACAGCCCCTGGTACCATCATCAGAACCTGAGCGGGCCTCACTTACAGCAAGGACCTCCTCCCACTCCTGGCTCTATGCATCACCCATCTCCAGGGCCTCCTCCCAATCCTGGAGCGGTATATTAACCTCCTTTGCCTCCTTGATGAAACCAGTGGAGCAGGAAAAAAGGAATGAAGGAGAGAGAGGAGGGAGACAGGGAGAACAGACAGACAGCGACAAGTCAAAACTCTTTGATGTGTTTTGCAGGACATGTACACATTCCATCCCATCTCAGGAACAACTGAGCTGCAGTAAAGGCTAAGACTTTTGAGAGACCATCTAAAAACAAGGGAAAGGTGGGCGGGAGGGAGGGAGAAAAGCTCATAGTCCATGTTGTATCTCAGCCAAATTGGTTTCACCCGCCCTACATGACCAACCTCCTCAACTTCCTGCGTGGTTTATCTGTAGGCAATTCTCTATCATCATCATCATCGTCACCACCACCACCGCCAGCTTCAGTCAGAAGGCTCTCTGCTTGGTTGGAGAGAAGCCCAGCGTCACACACAGCACCGCCCCAGCTTCCCGAGAAGAAAGTATACAACTGGTTTTCTTTACCTTCCTCTTGTTTTGTTGATTCTGTGTTGTTTGCTCACTTTCCCAAGCAAAGTGATTCAGAGAGGGATCTCCTTGGAGAGCTCTGAAGGATCTGGCAAGGTTTCAAAGTCCAATCGGTGTCATTTATGACAGGAGCAGGATTTCTGTTGTTACTCGTCCATTCATTTGGGGGATGTGGGCAGTCTAACGAACCCACCTCTCTCTATTCCTACATGACCTCCCAGAAATAATATCCAGCTAGAGTTTTTTTTCTTTTAATTTAAGGAACATTTAAGAGATGTTGGGGGCAAGTAAACATTGTCACAGCTATAAAAAAACACACACACATATTTAATAAATTTAGGATGAAAGCCAATTCCTTAGAAATACGCATGACTGTTTTACAAAACTGGGCAGCATATGGCAGGTGTGGCGAACCTTTGGCTCTCCAGGTGTTGCTGAACTACAACTCCCATCATCCCTGGGCACTGGTCATGCTTGCTGGGAGTGATGGGAACTGTAGTTCAGCAACATCCGAAAGGTCAAAGGTTCCCCCTCCAGGTGTGCAGTGTTAACATAGTGCTGGCGAGCTTGTGGTCAAAGAGAACAGGGGGAAAGTTCAGAGAGTTGTGATGGAAAGGACCAATTCTGATCTCACTAGTGGCTATTTCAGGTTTACTCCAGGAGCCCTCTGGATTAGGAAAGCCAAACAGGTGGGGCTTAGACCCAGTTCTTCAACTGGGAATAAACTGAGGATAAAAATCCCAATGCAGGAAGAAAAGTTCTGATCCCAGGAACATTAGTCCAGGTTTAATATGGACCAACATGGAGCTGGAAGGGACCGCAAGAGTCATCTATCTAGTCCAACCCCCCGCAATGCAGGAATCTTTTGCCTGTTGTGGGGCTCGAACTCTCGACCCTGAGATTAAGAGTCTCATGCTCTAACCAACTGAGCTATCCCTGACAGAACTATTTGCCATGGGGTGTGCGTGAAAGATTCCGATCTCCTTTATGACACTGCCCACTACCTCCTTTTTTGAACTAAAGTTACGCTAGAGGGCATTCATCTTACACGGGATTGGAAGGACGAATTTTTGGGTCCTTGCTCTACACCAGTCGGTGTTGTGGAGTGGCATGGTGGCTGGGAGGAAGGCATGGGGAAAGGGAACCTGGCCCAAATCATCATGGGTTATTCCATGTTTACATCAAGGTAGGAGATCGGCGGTGTAAATCAGTGACAGAGCAACATGTCTTGTATTGGGAAAGTCCCATGGTTGAATCCTGGCACCTCCAGTTAGTGCTGGGAATCTCCCCAGTCTGAAACTCTGTTTCATGGATATGGGGAACTAGTGGTCCTCTCGATGTTGGTTGTGCTAACTGGGGTTGATGGGAGTCAGAGACAACAGCATCTTGGTGGAACCCTAAGTTCTGCATCTCTGTTAAGGACCAAACTGAGTCAGACAGATCATTGGTATAAAACTCAGTACAAAACAGCTTCTGAGTTCCTTTTAGGCTGTCATAAAAATGTCTGGGTTTTTTGAAACTTTCCCCCAAAAAGCTCGATAACTTTCTTTGGGCAATATCCCCCCAAATCTCAACTTTCCCAAAACTTTTTGTTTCTTGAAATATGGCAACCCGTAAAGTTCTGTGCCCACTTTCATAGGAGTCGATCTCTACTGAACTTATGTCTTTTGTTTTATTTTGGTAGACCTGTTTATTATTGTGTTCCAAGGGACCAGATTCTTGTTTCCCCTTCAGCCAAATAAAACAAACCAAAATCCCAGAAAAGAAAGAGAAATCTTAACCCTTTTAGAGATGCTTCAGAATTACCCCAAGAATTAAATATTTGGCTTGGGAATTTATATCCCTTGACCTTCACATTAGGGTTTGTAAGGGGTTGGATGGCGGATAAATGTTTATTTTAAAAATTGAGGGAGATATTTAAAATACTATGGGAATAATTTAAGTTATTGTTATTTTTGAAAAAGAAAGTGAAAATTTGTCTTAAGTGTTGCTCTACTTGCATCATGTTAAGCTATTGTCAGAGAGGAAAGCTTATTTTTTAAAGAAGAAAAAAAAACAAATCCACCTTGGATTTTTAAAAAAACAATAAACCTGGGGGGAGTTGTTATTTTTTAAACAAAGAGCTGCAATTTTAATAAGCATTCTCTAATGTTGTACAGTGTCAAGGTTGCTATTTATGTCGCCTTGTATAATAGATAAGGAGAGAAAGGTGGGGGGAATGTATATAGGGCTGATTTGTATAAAGCTTATTTTAAATTTTAAAAGAAGTTTCTTTTTTATCTTGGCTTGGGGGGGAAGAGCAAGGTGAGAACTTTGCTCGAGCTTCTTTGTGCTTCGGTAGCGAACGGAAACTTTCTCGTAGAATGTTAATAAAACATTTTGAACTTCACAGAATGACCCTTTTGTTGTCTTTCAGCTCGCAGTGTGTGTTTTGTCAATCTGGGGCTGCAAATGCCCTTGTTGGTGTTTGGCAATGCCAACAGTTCCCCCAGAATCGCCCATGCCTTTTTTTATTTTATTTTAAAATTAATTTTCTTTTTTCTCATTACAAATATACTTATAACATACAATTTACATAACATCTCTCCCTCCCCACCACCGCCTCTGGACTTCCCTCAACCTCCATTTCTGATTTATTATCCTCATTATTATATTCTGCTATTTTCTACAAATATCATATTTCCCCTTTTATTACATTATTTGCTCCCTATCCATAAATTTGTGAATGTTTATTTAACAGAATCGCCCGTTCCTCATTTGTCAGCATACCTTAAATCTAGGCTAGCTTTGCAAGAACTGAGCTGCAATAAAAGGTTTCAAAGGTAGAATTCCAAACCTTGACTACGTCAGAATATGTGTCATCTTGGGGACGATCCTGCAACTGGTCCTGGTTGTTTGACATGCGCAGAGGTGGACAAGTGTCTAAAATGCAGGACCAACAGTTCTGCCTGTCTATATTCTAGTTGAAATGTGGATGTGTGTTGTGCCAAGCTCAACACAGCATCCGTACAGAGCATGTTCTCGGAGCGAGCTGAAATAGCAAGGCAGACATGGGCTGTCTTCCTAGCAAGACGTGGGGGATGAAAAGTCTTCACACACACAGTTTGCAGGAGGGACTTGCAATTCTTGCCTAAAGGACCTCATGCAGCTGGGGAAACTATTATGGGGGTAAACTCTCATCATCTGTACCATCCTGCCACGACAAATTTGGCTACGAGGAACTGATCACACATCAGATTCAACTGCGTGACGGAACGGGCGACAGAACATGTGGTTGCATTGCGATATGTGTATCTGCAATTATATGGATCCCTTGTATGATCTATTCTGGGATCATGGGAAATGTCAGCCTGTGTGTGTGTGTGTGTGTGTGTGTGTGTGTGTACCTCACTCACACCTTTCAGTGCAACAAGGGAAAGGGAAGGGCCGTATTTCCGATACCACATGCAGGTGTTTAATTCAGCCAACACACACACACAAAACTTACTGTATTTTTCGCTCTATAAGACGCACCAGACCATAAGACGCACCTAGGTTTTGGAGGAGGAAAACAAGAAAAAAAATATTCTGAATCCCAGAAGCCAGAACAGCAAGAGGGATCGCTGCGCAGCGAAAGCAGCAATCTCTCTTGCTGTTCTGGCTTCTGGGATAGCTGCGCAGCCTGCATTCACTCCATAAGACACACACACATTCCCTCTTACTTTTTAGGAGGGAAAAAGTGAGTCTTATAGAGGAAAAAAATACAGTAAATTGCATTAGAAAGTTCAGCCCATGTTGCGAAGCCTACCATTTGCAAGAGGGGTCATATATATATGTCCTCAGTCTTGCTCTCAACATACTGTACATTTGCGCAGAGACAGAGAACATGTGGCTCTCCAGATCATTCAAAACTACAACTCCCATCATTCCTGACCATTGGCCACAGTGGCTGGGGGCTGATGGGAGTAGGAGTGTGGCAGCATCTGGAGGGACCACAGATTCCCCATCTCTGCATTCACCAATGTGGCTCAGCTTCAGCTGCTCCTTGTTTTCAAGGAAATAAGTTTTGTTTTTCCTGAGCTGGAGAAGGAAAAAAGGAACTACCAAGCGCATTTGGATTCCTTCCCTAACGCCCTCAAAGGGCAAATATACCACAGAAATGTCATTGGTCTGGTTTCTGACACAGCACCAAAGGTTGTCGTCCTCCAGCAGGCCAAGGCCAATACTGCCATTTGGAAACAAACAAGGTGGGAGGGAGTATTGCATGCAAAGAGCCTCACCCCATAACAGGGATGGTTTATGTGATGGGTGTGTGAGACTTTGGGGCAAGGAGAGGGCCTCTGTTCACCCTGCGCAGCTCAGCAGCTATGAGTCCTCAAACCAGGAGAGAGTCAGGCACTAGACAATGAGCTTAGAAATTGGGCTTTTCGTGAGCAGCAGAAGGAAGCAATACAGTGGTACCTCGGTTTACAAACTTAATCCGTTCCTGAAGTCCGTTCTTAAACCAAATCCATTCTTAAACCAAGGCGCGCTTTCCCTAATGAGGTCTCCTGCCACCGGTGCCCTTCCACCATTCGGCTTCCATTCATAGACCGAGGTAAAGTTCGCTAACCAGAACACTACTTCCGGTTTTGCGGAGTTCGTAAACTGAATAGTTTGTAAACAGGGCTGTTTGTAAACCGAGGTAAAGGTAAAGGGACCCCTGACCATTAGGTCCAGTCGTGGCCGACTCTGGGGCTGCGGCGCTCATCTCGCTTTATTGGCCGAGGGAGCCGGCGTACAGCTTCCGGGTCATGTGGCCAGCATGACTAAGCCGCTTCTGGTTAACCAGAGCAGCGCACAGAAATGCCGTTTACCTTTCCGCCGGAGTGGTACCTATTTATCTACTTGCACTTTGACGTGCTTTCGAACTGCTACTTGCACTTTGACGTGCTTTCGAACTGCTAGGTTGGCAGGAGCAGGAACCGAACAACTGGAGCTCACCCTGTCGCGGGGATTTGAACCGCCGACCTTCTGATCAGCAAGTCCTGGGCTCTGTGGTTTAACCCACAGTGCCACCTGCATCCGTAAACCGAGGTACCAATGTATTAACCTTGAAGAAGAAAAACTAATCAGAGGACAGAAAAGTTAAGCTTGCTGTATCAGACCAAAGGTGAGTCTGTTCCAGGGATGGGAAACCAATAGCCCTTCAGATGTGGCTGGACTCCAGCTTTCATCCGCCCCAGTTGGCAAGGCCAATGGGAGAGGGGAATCCCAACATCTGGAGGGCTACAGGTTCCCCATTCTTTGGGTAGCCCATCACTACAGGCAAGTTTGCATTTAGGCGGGAGGTTACATTCCAAGGCACTGTACATTTAAGTGAAATCACATACAGTGGTACCTTGGTTCTCATACTTAATCTGTTCCGGAAGTCCGTTCCAAAACCAAAGCGTTGCAAAACCAAGGCACGTGCTTTCCCATAGAAAGTAATGCAAAATGGATTAATCCGTTTCAGACTTTTAAAAACAACCTCTAAAACAGCAATTTAACACGGATTTTACTATCTAACGAGACCATTGATCCATAAAATGAAAGCAATAAACAATGTACTGCAGTCACACAATCAATCAATCCGTAGATGAACTGGATTCTGCACAGTCACAAGAATGGGGGGGAAAGAGCCGCAAATACAAAAACGCAAAATAAACAGCAAAAACAGACAGACCTCAGTGTAACACTCAAAACGGAAGTGTGGCACTCAAAACGGAGCACGTTCTGCTTCCGAAAAAAAGTTCACAAACCCAAACACTTCCGGGTTTGCAGTGTTTGAGTACCAAGCCGTTTGAGAACCAAGGTACCACTGTATATTGAAAACACCACTGAAAAAGCCTGCAAACACCCTCTAAACCTCTTGAAACCCTTGGGAAACCCTTTTTTTAAAAAAACAAAAATCCATCAAACTCCACCACAATAGCTCCCTCCAAACCTCCTTGCTCTAACTCCAACTCTCACAGGCCTCAAAGGCTGGTGCAAGGGCTCCTGGGATCGCACTTGCAAAGGCTTGTGGAATTGCCAGGTGCTGTTTTTGTGCCATTTTTAAACTCTTTTAGGGCCAATTTTTGCTACGCATCAATGGGGCCTTTGTTTCTCCAACAGAGGCCAGCCAATTGTTTTGGAAGCTCACAAAATGCCCTAGTCATAGGCTAGTCAAATTTGAGGCCAGGCCTAGTAGCACCACCAGGCATCCTCAGTCAGCTGACATGGTCCCAGCCCTTTGACTAGGCCCCTCATTAAACAAAAATAAAGATTAAACAACTCCTAGCAATGGACATTCTCCATCACCACAAGGCCCCAGAAGTTGGCTCAACTTGTGAGACGTTGCAAAGGAAAAATGGCCACCACTGGGAGTAGGTCAGAGGTCTTCTGTTATGTTTTAATGAAGGTCCAGGGCAGGGATGGACAGTGAATGATGCTGTAGAGTACGCCTACTAGAGATCCCCAGGAACCCCAGGTGCACAGCACATCGTTGTATGGGGAGGCGGTTTCTTTGTTGTGCTGCTCAGTCCTGGAGCTGGCTCTGATGGAGATAACCATTAATGACCCTGAAGCTTCCTTGTGCAACGTAGGGCCATGGGAAGAATTTAAGATTTTCAGTTTGAAGGGCTGCTTTAAAGGAACTGGGGGTGTCTGAAAGAAGGCGTCTCCAGAACCATCCCTAGAAAAAAGGGATAGGTAGATAAGAGTTTTCAGAGACTCTTTGACTGCTAGCTTAGCAGACGCCAAAGTGGTCGCCAGCAGCTACTAGATGCAACAGCAGGTAAATCCAGAAGAACAGGTAAGTCTGGCGAGAGAATAAGAGACATTTGCAAGAGTTTAAAAAAAATAAATTATGTTGAAATAGTGGAAAAACCTCACTAACGCTGAAGGACCCTTGATGGATTTGCAATAATGAGAAGCTGGTGTGAGAGATCACTCTGAAGATCTTTACATTGCAGAGCTAAATGAGCTACCATGTCAATGGGAATGGTATAAGCCAATCCTTGACCTGACTTTCTACATGCATGGTTTGCTTCTGTGTGTACATATTTGTTTTATTTATTTATTTTTTTAATATATTTTTATTGCCTTTTTCCAGATATATCAAACAACAAAAAAGAAAAAAAGAAAAATACAGAAAAAGGAAAACAAGGACTTCCCCACGTCTCCCACCCCCTGCTTTCTTACCAATAAAATGTCAGCAAATTAATATCTTGTTTCATGTGTTATTAATACTTTCCAGTAATTGTCTTTTAAGTTCAAAATACTTGTTTTCAATTTACTTTTACTTTAATCTAAACACAATATTATTTTAAACCTTAGTCCTCTCATTGACCCTACCCTAATTTCCAATATAAAAAAATCTTGATGCTGGAGCTTGGTTTTTCAGTTTAT